TCCTAGAGTAATATTTTATCTGCTTATCGGTGTACGTGTTGTTTTTCCCCCTTTAGAACGTTCTATAAACTGTTAAAGGTTAGGGATTGTTTTGTCTTTGCATTTATATCTCCAGCACCTAGTGTCTAGTATCTGGTCCATATCAGGCAGCTAGCGAATAATTACTTAATTAAATAGAATTTAATTAAACTTGAATAAGGTCAGACAGGTAGTAAATGGCCAGAATTTAATCCTCATTTGAAATCTAGAACTCTGTTCACTGTACCTCATAGATAGATCCTCCCCAGTTAAGTTAAATGCCACATTAAAAGATGTATTGGACAAGTTACCTCAGTCTTATTTATAAGCCTTTAAGAATATTGGGATTACAGTAAGGGTTCAACGGTAAATATTGATCAAGTGATTCACTGGGGGTGGAGCGGGGGAAGAGTATGAAAACACACTTTTAAATTTAATCTGACTTATTAACATTTTCTTCATCACTTTGTCGTGCCTAAACAGTCAAGCTCTGATTTGTAGCTTGATTTCAGACGTGCAAATACTGACACTGAAAGTTTAACTATCAACTTTTGTAAGCTGGTTCAACTTGGCTCTAGCCCTGTTGGTGAGTTTGCTGAGACTGCTGTCCACTAGGAAGACTTGGGTTCAAGTTCTGCCTCTGACACATACTGGCTTTGTGACCATAGGCAATTCACTTAATCTCTTTGGGCTCTAAGTAATGTTCTAAGACTATAAGTCACAGAGGGCATCTTGACCAGAATTGCTAGTAGGAGTTTCCTCACCTGTGAGTCCCATATAACAATGAAAGCATGTGTCTATTACCTATCCTTAGTTCCCACCAATAAGGACGTTTTCCATATGAGCAACATTTCCTTTCCTTATGTCTTTTATAAAATGGTCTTTAATTGGGCCTATGATAGAAAGGTCAGTTTAAGCAAACTCTTTTTTTTTTAACTCTTGGGAAATGTTCATTATGAACCCAAGAGGGAGCTCTCAACTCTTTCCTAAAGTAACCACCACAGTCTTTGGCAAGTATCAGTTCCTCTATTTAGGTTCTGGGTTTTCTTTAGATTCAATAATATAAGGCTAGGATCAGGATCATTCTTTCCTAGTAAAAGCAAAATATTGCTGCTGATATTTATCCAATTCCTTTTTACATTACAATAACAAGGAGATGTGACCCTTGATCATCAATCGTTAGTAAAGGAAGAGATAACAATTATAATAGCTGCCATTTCTTTAGCTCTTCTGTCTTTCCTCATAACAAACCCTGTGACAGAAGTACCCTAGGTATTATAGTCCAACTTTACAGATAAGGAAACTCAGGTACAGAGAAAAAGAAACTCATTCAGGATTATCTGACTATTAAAGATTGGAGCTAGAATTTAAATTCAGTTCAGAATTTAAATTCTAACTTCATAACATTGTCTACTTTACTGCATTCCAGCACCTAGAATGTTAGCAGACTTGGAATAAAAGTTGCAGTTGAGTTGACCCAAAGGCAAGTAGAAAAAATCATAATTGCTATAAGTAGGGTGCAGGAAATTATCAACGAGGTAGAATAAAAGCATTATAAAGAACATGTATAACTAGGAAAAGAGCAATCCAGTCATGGAGTAAAATTGAGGAATAAGAGCGCAATTAGATAAGATAAGACAAATGTTAATCATCCAGAAAAGAAGCCTAAGTTAAGAAGTGAGAAGGTTTGTATAGCCAAGGACTATAGTAACTGTTGTCTGAAGGGATACTCCATCATTGTCCCCAAAACATCAATCTATAAATATTGATCAATTGCTTGCCGTGGAAAGGTTCTGTGTGAGCTTCTATGAGAGATACAAAGAAGCATGTTTTTATGCATTTCTTCAAGAAACGAAATGAGAATATGAGATAGATATGCAGGAAAAAGTCATTAAAAAGAGGCTTCAAATTTCCCTTTGCCTGGATGGCTCATTTTCTCTTATCTCAATTTCCTTGGAGATCTGAGTTATTTGTTTATGTTTCCTTTCCCCCTTACTGAGCTCATTGAATAAAGAGCATCTGTTTTGTCTATCTTTGTACCCCTCCATGACATTTATTACATATTTGTTGAATTTAATTAACAAAATCTCAGAACTGAAAGGGATGTCAGACACCTCTTATACCTAACACTTTAGGTAAGACGGAAGTAAGTCAGTCATTCCAGTCATTTCAGTATAAGAATCTCTTCTACAGCATACCTCTACTCCATGGTCCAGCATTCTGTAAACCTCAGTATTAATTATCAGAAGGCTGGCAGATCTCCTGGGCTCTTCATTGAAGTTTTTTCTTTCCTGGATAAAAAGAAAGATAGATGGAGCACTTATTAAGTGGCCCTGCACTAAATCCTAGGGATACAAATACAGCACCCTCAAGGTGTTAATATTCTATGATATATAAAAAAAAGAGTTGAAAATAACAGAGGGGATGTCAAGGCAATTGGTGAGAAGGACGAAAAAAAAAAAAGCAAGTTAGTGGAATCAAGAATCAGTGGGAGCATGGCTAAAGCCCCTCCTGAAGTCAAAGCAAATATTCACCAATCAGTAGAATGGATCATTGGGGTGGTGATTTCTCAAAGTGAAAAGATGGTTGGTGAAAAGGAGGAGGAAAAGAAGTCCAAAGAATGGAGTCAGGAATGAATTCTTGAATGGATAAAGGGTCGTGCTGCCTGGAACCAGGTGGGATTAATGTGATGGACTCTGCTTGCCTGTTCCTGCTCTAATAGCATGAGGCTTTTATTTAAAAAAATAAAATAAAAGCCAAGATCCAAGGTGACCAGAAGGAACAATAGAATTATTATCAAAGTGCTGTTGTGCAAGCTATTTATCATCCAAGGGAGAGATAGATAGAGCTGTTGCTGATGCTGGAAATTTCCTGAGAAGGTGAGGTATTTGATCATCCAGACATGAAATGGGTCCATGGCTAGATATGCCATTTTTGGGTCAATAGAATTAAGGTCACTGAAATGGTGACAGAGTAGTGAGATGGTATGCATCATGGGATTTACCTGTGAAATCATAGAAATGGGAAAATATACTATTCTATTTTTATTCCCACTTGCTAGAGTGGCTGGTCATCCTCAATATAAGCAGCAGCAGGAACAAAAGTTTTGTGATCTGCCAACCATGTGCAATGTAGCCTGGGTTAGATGAGGGGATATAAGCCAGCACTTTAGGAAGGTCTTTATTACTTTCATTCCTATCCCCTACCCCTAATCTTCCATGCCTTTATCTCCTACAAAAGGCCTAAATATCTTCCTGTCTGAGGCCCAATAGCTAACAACATCTGTATAAGACTCAAGATAGGGGAAGCCCCAAAATGACAGGTGTTAGGACTGGCTTTTAAGTCAAACATAGCCCTAAGATTCTCAAATCAATTCAGTCTAATCTCCCAATGCCCACGGTGGGCATGAATAGCTATGATCCAACAAAAATGAATTACAGAATCCCTGAGATGGGGCACCATCTGAAAGAGAACTCGTGTTATGAGTATCTGAGTAATCCCAAGTTACAGCACAGGAATACTTCAAAATGATCTCAAAGTAATTGTCAGCCCTTCCTAATTCCTTTTTCTAATTCCCCAGACAAGCAACAAATGTTTTCTTGATTATATCTGCAGATCCTCAGTTTCTTTCCTTTACCTAAGGTTTTACTTTAAAGGAAGAGGGGTCCTGACTTCCTGACTTGTGGTCAGGAAAACCTTGTTACAAATCCCACCTCAAACATTTACTATCCCAGGGGCAGTTAGGTTGCACCATAGGTAGAGCACCAGACCTGGAGTCAGGAGGACCTGAGTTCAAATCCGGCCTCAGATACTTGACACTTACTAGCTGTGTGACCCTGGGCAAGTCACTTAACCCTGATAGCTTTGCAAAAAAAAAAAAAAATGACTGTTCCAGCGACCTTGAGTCACCTAACTTCAATTTACCCAGCTACAAAGCGGGAATTATAATGCCTGTGGTATTTATGTCACAGGGTTGATGTGAGGATCAAGGGAAATAATGCAGCAAGTCCCAAAAGGCTTAGTGAAAGTTTAAGCTATTAGCATAAATAAAACAATTTAACAAATGACATTTATAAAATATTTAAAAATATATGTGTTTTATATATGTAAGGTATCCCTTAGTATAGGTGACTTAAACCTGCACTGAGACTTGTGAGACATCTGGTATACATAAAGCACACTATACATTTTCAAATGTTTTACAAAAGCCATACTCTTACTACTATGACTATGATTACAACTACTACTACTGCAATACTTTATTCCCCTGGCCTGCAAATTTTTAGGTGATTTTGGCCTCAGTTATCTGCTGCCCAGTGAGAAATACAAGCTTTCCCTAGAAAGCTAACCCTCGGGGTGGCGGGGGCAAGGCAGGAAGGTCTTTCCTACCTCATTTCTGTTCTAACTGGGCCCTACCAGGTCCTAGTGGTTTCCTCTTGACATTTAGGCTAGGTTAAGAATTAATAACTTCTAACTAAAACTCTAACTAAAATCATGGGTATCTAGTCTTCTTAGCACATTATTCACATAGCATGTTTGTATGTTCATCTAGTAAAGTCATCTACTCACAACTTAAAAGGATTTTTTTTTGGAGGGGGAGACATGGCTTCCAAAAATTCTAGTTTCCTTAGTAGCCCAATGTAACTAGCATGTAGAAAACTATCTCAACTCTTTACATCTATTTATTTTATCAGCTTGTGTCAACTTTAAACATTAGCACATGATCATAGGCTCAGCCTCAGTATAGGTGTCTTAGTTCATTCTTCATAAACTCATCCCGAATAGATTTCACAGCTAAGAAAAGGATACAGTCCTTACAGTGAAAGGCCTTTGTGTTATGGAGGACTTTGCTCTAAAGATTCAGCCTTTGTCTTAAAGAAGTGGACAAGGCCAGTTAGTGATTTTAAATGGCACTGCCATGACCAATGTGTGAAAAAATTATTTCTTTTCCATTTCAGGGCATGTCCAAGATAATTCTGTCACTTCTACTCAACATGGCACCCTTGAACAACACCATGTTCTACCCTCAATCTTTCTTCCTCACAGGCATTCCTGGATTGGAAAGATTCCATGTGTGGCTCACTATCCCCTTCTGCTGCCTCTATGGTATTGCCCTCTCTGGAAACAGTATGATCCTCTTTGTCATCATCACGGAGCCAAGTCTCCATGAGCCAATGTACTATTTCCTCTCCATGCTGTCTTTCACTGACCTGGGCCTATGCTTGTCCACCTTGATCACTATGTTGGGCCTTTTCGGGTTCAATGCCCGAGAGATCAGCTTTGATGCTTGCATTGGCCAAATGTTCTTCATTCACGGCTTCACCTTCATGGAGTCCTCAGTGCTACTGGCTATGGCCTTTGACCGCTTCATCGCAATCTGTAACCCACTAAGATATACCACTATCTTAACTAATTCAAGGATTGCTAAGGTAGGGATGGTGATTGTCATCAGGGGCACAGCAGCTCTGGTGCCCTTGCTCCTGCTCCTAAAACGTCTATCATTCTGTCATAGCCACGTTCTCCACCATTCCTATTGTTTCCACCCTGATGTGATGAAGCTATCATGTTCAGACACCAAGGTCAACAGCGTATTTGGATTGGCAATTGTCATCTCCACTGCTGGGGTAGATTCAGTCTTCATACTACTCTCCTATGTTCTGATCATCCACTCTATTCTCAGCATTGCATCTCCTGAAGAGCGCAAGAAAGCCTTTAGCACCTGCATCTCCCACATCAGTGCTGTAGCCATTTTCTACATCCCCATGATCAGCTTGTCCCTGGTGCACAGATTTGGGAAACATGCCCTTCCTTATGTACACACACTCATAGCCAATGTCTACCTACTCATTCCTCCAGTGATGAATCCTATTATCTATAGTGTGAAGACCAAGCAAATCCGCAGAGTGATCCTCAAAATATTCCTTCCCAAGAAAATTTAGGAAGGTTATTGGAAATGTAGAGAAGGCTGTACAGTGATTAGCTACCATCAATGGCCATCTAGTTGCATACCTGAGACCAAAGGATAAGAAAGCTAATAATAATGACTTCCATTAGAGACACCAGGGGTTATAGAGCTACCCTCATTGAGTATATGACAGAATAATGGATTAATGGCAAAGCTGGGGTTTATTATCTTCAAAGTATCATTTTCCTTGCAAAAAAAGAGGACCCCAGGACCTTAGGCTTATTTATGTCTCTTGCAATCAACAAGCTAACAAGGCATGGAACAGAGAATGAACTGATATACGCACAGATGGACCATAGCAATGACTCATACTCAAGTTAGTAGACAGTAATGAATGTTTATGTTTGAGTCCCTCATTTTCCAAGGAGTAATAGAGTCTCTCCAGACCTATAAGCGGCATCCAGGGATTAAAGGTCTTTAGAAAAAAGAATTCAGGATTGCTAAAGAATCAGACATCCCATTCTTTTAGGAAGTCAAGTGTGGAAAAGAACTCAAGGACCTGCACAGTCCAATCAGTTCACAATTCCAGTGAAAGGAAAACTCAGAGATTGTTCCTCCTGGTCATTACTCTATACCTCAATGTCCCTCAGTTCTGACTCCTGCAATTGCAAGTTTGAACCAAGAACTATTCTTACTCCAAGAATACCTCTGTAGGCTCCATTACCTCTGTGTCCAGCCATGCATAAGTTCTGTGCTATTCAGATCTTTCTCTACTACTGAACCTCAAGGATGCTTGTGTTACCTGAAGCTGTAACTATCCTCTGTCTCTCAAGAAAAATCTTTTCTCTCACTCAAATTTAGATGGCCAGAGACAACAAGGGCCTGGACTATATTACACATTGCTGATATATTCTATCAAGCTTATTTTGGGTTGCCTCTGGGGTAATTGACTGAAGTCCTGTTTGTATTAAATTGGTCCATCACCCTGAAGGATTATCAAACAAAAGGACTTCTCAGGCAGCTATGAAGAAATCCAGGCTTTCCCCTTCTCAATTACCACTCCCCTTCTCATTGCTAGGTATTGTGTGATTCAGTTTCATTCACCACCTTCCCTACTCTAGGATTCAGGCAGTTTGCCCACTCACCTAGTTTGTGTCATCTTCTAGATTTTTTGAGACTGGGGAAAACACTTTCACTCTCTTTCCATTTGCCTTTTCAATTCCACTTGAAACTCTGTCCTCAAAATTATTCAACTCCCCTAGTGCCAGGCCAGGCAAATTGTAATGAAATGCAGGGGATGAATAACTTAGCAGGAGTCATCAAGGAAGGCTGACACTTCAAGAACAAGGTGACATTTAAGATGATCCTTAAAGGATGACCTAGACTTGAATATGCAGAGAAACAGAAGAAAACACTCCAGGATAAGAACCGCCATAAGAGAAAATGCAAAGGAGGGAAAGTTTAGGGCATTTTAGAGAATGAGGTGAAGTAGATTAGCCAGACCGAAGAACACATATAATGAAACAATGGGATATGAGACCAGAAAAGTAGATTAGGGCCAGAAAACCATGAATTAGGAAGAAGCTGAGATCTCTATGATCTGGAGTCAGAGTTATCAGGGGAGTCTGGAAGGAGCAAATGCAAATTAAGCTGAACCTGAAAATATGGATAGCATTTGGAGTTGGGAAGATGGATATTCTGAGTGAGGGAAAAAGCATTTGACCGCAGGTGCAGGAAGATGATGGAGATCATAAGGCTGTTTGGGGATAATGAGTAGATCCCTTTGATGTATACACAGGCTTCATGTAGGGGAAAGTGAGAAATAGCATCTTTTCACATTTCTACAGAATTTTTAGGATTGCAATCCCAATGTGCATCTTACAATGCACATAATAATCATGAAAGGTAGGAAGAACAAGTGTTATCATGTGCAACAGATGGGGAAACAAAGTAGTGGTAGGCATGTCATTTGCACCACTCACATGACTTTAACTCCAGAATTTTGCTAGCTGTACCATGTGGTCATTTCAGAGTTGTTTGAGGGAGATGGTGATCATCAACACACTTTGGTGCATGTGTGAACTCCGTCTTGTTGCCAGCTAGGAGCTATGAGTGGTTATTGAGCAGGACAGTACAAGGGTTAAAGTAACCCTTCCTCCTCCTCTTCTATACCCACCATGATCTTTTACATATGATGTTTTTGTAGACACATTTTATCAGGGATAGCAAGGTGCTGTAGCGATTGGAACCAGGAATTGGAGTCAATAAGACCTGAGTTCAAATCCTATCTGAGAGGTAGGGCATTTGGCATCGACAAAATGTTCTTCATTCACAGTTTCACCTTTACAGAATCCTTGTGGCTCCTGGTTATGGCCTTTGACCATTTCATTGCTCTTTGTAAGCCACTAAAAAGTATCTCTGTCTTAATCTAATTCAAGGATTGCTAAGGCAGTGATGGTAATTGTCACCAGGTGCACAGCTGCTCCGGTACCCTTGGTCCTCCTACTCCACAAAGGCTAGGCTATGTGGCCCTGGGCAAGTCACATAATCTCTTTTGGCTTCAATTCCCTCATCTATAAAATAGGTATAATAATACCACCTATTTCACAGGGTTGCTGTGAGGATCAAATGAGATAATATATGGATAATACATGTAAAACTTTGCAAAAATTAAACTGCTATGTAAATTCTCACTATTGTTATTATCACCCTGTTAGATTTTTTTGAGGTGACAGATTGTATGTTACTTTCTTTAAATCTCCACAAGTCTAATGGAGTGTAGTTACATATACTCGAGTACTTTATTGGACATGTGATGCCCTCTTTGTGGGTACTCCATAGAAGCAAATTTCAATCTCTCAGTGACTTGCATCCTATGAAATTTATACCCATGTTTTTCTCATAAATAATAATAGCTCCTCCTCCAAGGATCTACCCAATACAATGTTGTTGTTGTGTCATTTTAGTTATACTGACTCTTTGTGACTCCATTTGGGGTTTTCTTGGCAAAGATACTGAAGTGGTTTGCTATTTCCTTTTCCAATTCATTTTACAGATGAGGAAACTGAGGTAAACAGGAGTAAGTGACTTTCCCAGTATGACACAACTAGTAAGTATCTGCGGCCAGATTTGAACTCATGAAGATAGTTCTTCCTCAGTACAAATCAGTGTTCTGTCTACTGTGCCACCAAGCTGCTCTCACCCAATGCAGTAGAACTCGTCATATTCTTTTAGCATCTTCAAGGTACCACTCAGATTCACTCAGGTTTTCCATAGATTTCTTTCATTTTCTGTATCTAATTGACCTAATTTTTTTTAATGTACTCAATCATCTATTTTGTCACTTCTAGCAATGTGCTATTATTAACAGTGGGTGCTGACTTTGGTAATCCTTCATTTTGGAGGCTGCTTACTTCACACTAATGCAAATATAGTAGGTATTAAGGAAACACTTGTTGATTAATTGATATAAAAGTAACGTATGACATAGTATGGGTAGCTAGGTGGTGCAATGGATAGAATGCCAGGCCTGGAGTCAGGAAGACTGATCCTCCTGAGTTCAAAATCTTGCCTTAGACATTTACTGACTGTGTGACCCTGGGCAAGTCACAACCATGTTTGCCTCAGTTTCCTTAGCTGCAAAATGAACTGGAGACAAAAATGACAAACAACTCCAGTAGCTTTGCCAAAAACAAAACAAAACAACAACAAAAAAAGAAACAAATGGGGTCAGGAAGAGTTGGACATGATTGAAAAAACGACGGAACATCTCCCCTCAAAGTGCTCTTAGTCTAGTTAAGACAACCAGGTGTTATACTTGTGACCATGTTTGGCCATGGGTCTATAGCATAGTCAGAGTGCTGCCTTCCTTGACCCTAAATGTCTGTGTAATTATCCACCAAGAGAGGGCAATATCCAAATTGTCCACCAGGTGGTGCTCTCTTTATCAAGTAGGCTTGTGCCTGTGGCTCCCTAAAGGCTGCAATATTCCAACTGCCCCACAGATCATTTTCACTCCCATAAATCCCTAAACTGCTCATACCACTAAAAGACCAAGCTTCAGTAACAGTGCTAAGAAGATTGAACAAATTCTCCCAGTCAAGTTCAAAATCTATCTAGGGGATGAAATGGAATATTGTTCAAAATCTGAAAAATATGAAATCAAGTAGCCTAAAATCATCTCATGAACTCCTGCTCTATATTAATTCATCTTTTTCTGCCAACGGCTTCTTTCATTCACAGCTCTCAGACACACAAAATGCTGTGATAACAGTTTATCGGACATAAGTTGAAAGGAGATAAATCATTTCTACATGAAATAACTTGCTCTCAGCTACCTGCTTTGCCACTACCTATTATCTTCCCAGATTTTCTGTTGTGTGTGTGGAGTGGGAACTGAAGGATTGGAGACCCAACCACATGAAACCATGGTTGTGGGAAAGAAATTATAGAAGTTAGCTGCACAAATTAGAAACAAATGGAGAATACTAAGGGAGAAATCACTCCTATTTCCACCCCACCCCAGCTTACCAGCCTGTAGGGATTAGCCATGGATCAAGTCAACATCTTCTCCTGGTCTCTGCGATCTTTCCAGGCTCAGGATCTATGCCTCTCTCACATTTGATCTTCAGGTTTGCCTTCCAGGAGCTTTATATTCCGGCCAGTTCTGGTTCTGGTCTCTTCACTTCTCCTCATGTTCCTAATCATAAACTACTTGCCTCGTGACTTTCTTATCAACAAGGAAATCTGAATATATGGACAATGGAAGGAAGACTGAAAGTCAACTTTGGAGGTTACCAAATGCAGATAATACCTTCCTTTCTACCGTCTCAGAATTTCTTCCATGTTCTAGCAACAGTTCACTTGGAACTCCAGTTAGAGATGATCGATAATTCCCCCTTCATGTGCTGAACATATTAGAAAGCTTGTTTCCTCAGTCCCTGTCTCTCTGCCCTTTTCTCTGTCTCTACCTATCTTTTCTCTTTCAAAATGTCTTTATCTTTTGACTCTGTCTCTCTATCTCTTTGTCTGTCT